ATTGAATAAAATTCATGAATAGATATTCACAAGCTTAGTTTTTATGCAGATAAAATATTCTTAAATACTTCAATTAGTTAGTAATAGGCTGATAAGTATGAAATTAGTATTTTAGTGACAAAGTTTTCAAGTTTAAATGTTGAACGTAATATATCGACTATATCACACCAAATAGATACAAAGCTTTATGATGAACATTGCATCTTCAAAGGGATTATCAGTTAGCTTGGTAGACAAAGAAATACACACCAACATTTACGTCTAGTAGCTCATTATCATGAACGTTGGAAGTAGTGCTATTGGGTTGAACGCCCAAAATCTGTTTAACTTCTGGAGTAAATCATAAATTCAAAATATGTTAGTCTGTCAGATAGAATTGTTTGAAAGTTTATTTTATCTTCTCTTCAACTGTTCACTTTAAATAGGTTAGTCTAGATTATTACAAATAAACCTAATTAATAATAATTTACAACCTGAAATTATTACTTAAATACAAATTTAAGTAGTTAAGCCCTAATCAGCTCATTCTATATCATAAAAGCTATTGCATAAATGCAAGAGATAACTTTAGTTAAATAACCATCGAAAACTGGGAAGTTCTGAACCGTTTTACCGGACTCGAATAAGACTCGTCAATAGTCAATGTCGGTAACCTTACTTGGTGTCGAACTCAGGACCTACAGGCCTCTTGGTGAGCGCCTAACATTCAAACGGCTTAGTAACTATCTAATATACCGATAAAACTGAACATTTTATTAAAAAGGTCAGAATTTGTGGTTCTATGAAATACTGTACCTACAGTGATGCCGTCAGAACAGTAACAAATGGTTCCATCATGTAGCAAGCTTGATAACAATGATTGATGATTACAGATTTCTCCAATAATTATATAAACGGACTTCTTGATGTTGTCCCGTAGAATGATCACACGTTTGTTACCAAAAACAAATCTGCACAAACACATCCCTGTGTAACTCCACCTGGATCCCCTCCGGGAGCCACTGCCGGTCCCAAACCCGGATAAAGGAGGAGGGTTGGGCATGGGGTTAGCGACTCCATCCCGTAGAAAACTAACTCGCTAAAAAAACGCTAACCAGAAGAAAAAAATTATTCGAAACATCCCTGTGTAACAACCTACTTCACGCTCGCCTGTGTTTTTCACTCGTTGGATTTAACCTAATAAGTTGCACTATGGCCAATAGTTTCAGTTACCATGCATCACATAGAGGTAAACAGGTGTTAAATTTGAATCTCATTCCGGTTATTTGTAAGGACTATTAGGAGAACCTTTGGAAAACTATGTAATCTCCGTAATTTCTAATCAATGTAATCTAACTTTTTCTACCACATTAAAAAACAGTGCACGTGATATTGAGGCCACACTGAAATGTAACCTGGATGATTTGGCCGACCCTAAAGGCTAAATAAGTATGCCTGCATGCGTAGGAAAAAGAGTTAGAAGTTCCATCAGTATTTCATAAAATTCATTTTCACGACAATCATTGATCACAAAATTACATGCCTATTCCTTCGAACTACTTCACACACAACCAACCATCTGAGACGATTCCATAACCCGTGAACGAAAGTGGTAGGATAAATTTGGTCAAAGTGAGATCAAGTACGAAAATGTATATCACAAGGTAAACATGATTTATTATTTAAAACACTAATTATAGAGATATGTGAATTTTGTGGGTCATTCATAAACCTTTGAAGTTAAGACATGGCTATTAGGCTTAATTATACCCTTTCTAAACAAGTAATAGATGATGGCCGTACAAAATCAGGAAATTCATTGATCTTAGAAACATGAGTGGATGGATTTCAAACCAATTGTCTACAGGTAAAAGTTTCTCCACAAACGCTTGCACCACTGGTCTCAATTTCTTACTACGTCATTTGAAGTTCCGGAAAATCCTATACTAAGAAGCATCATTCTCTAACGATTTTCTGCCTAAAACCAATTTATGATGTACTCGACCGTCTTAGTAAATTCTGTTAGTATTCCTACAATTGATATCTAAAAAATTGCACATTGTATATGACAGATCTGATTTATCATGTTGGTATTTTGTGGTTAAAAATATGAAAAATGACCATGTGATCTAAATAACAACGCAAATATAGCGTTGGAAACTGACGATTTTTATCTATCTGGCATTGTGATAGCATTCCTGATAAATGAAATGACCAAAATGTTGCCACAAACTAACAACTGCTTTCCATGTGTTAATATAAAACAGAGATTAATTAATGAATTGACTTTTTCAAAGGTCAGTTTTTCAACGCTTATTCTCAGTTCTCTTATCTCAATATTATACAGATGTCATCAGATAACTTCATTCATCTGAATGAAAATATATTCCGATTGTAAATGTGTTTCTGAATTTTCCTAGACAATTCCATAGACAGTTCTATTCAAAGAAATCATCACATAAAAAATTTTCATTAATGCAATGTGTGAAGCATTGAAGAGATCGAGTTCTAGTGGCACCATGGTTGTTCTCATTTTTATACGGAGATATGCCATATGGAACTCGTTATCTATGATAACATTCCTGGTTTTCCAGCTCGTTTATCATTAATTCATGAGCCATGAATAAATCAACATTTTATGAGTTTACGATGAGTCAAGTAAATTAAAATGAAAATTGCTTGGTGTGTGTTATGAACAAAATACATGGCAGAATGTAAGCATTGCCACATGTTATTCCATAAGCAGCATTTGATTTGCTGCCAATTTTATTGCCGATTTCCCCCAATAATGTAATGTGTTTTGAGCAACAAGTAGAGTTATTTCTACCGAAATTCTTATGTGATACATGAAAAACAATCATTCATACCAAATAGGGGTTGTGGCAATCATTAAATTTTTGATTGGGATCATGGACCAATTGATGTTAGACCACCATTGGAAAACTGGAAGCACTGGGTGGCCGTTCCGTCCTATTATGGGACTCCTCAGAAGTGCGCATCCATGATCCCACTCACGGGATTCGACCCCACGGCCTTCAGTTTCGCGAGCGAATGCCTAACCTACTGGACCACTGAGCCCATATCCAATGGTGTTAATGTTTAACCTCAACCAATCCGCAAAATTGTGCGACCATCTTCCATTGTACTGAGATAGATACCTGTCTCTACCCGACATAGATTAGCTCCACTGGTCACGGTTTCTCACTAGAACTCCGAGAATTCCCTCATGAAGCTTGTCACTATTGAGCACATGACAGTTATCAGTATAGGGGTTGTGGACTGCTTAGGAGTCCCGCAATAGGACGAAACGGCCGTCCAGTGTATCCAGGTTTCCAACGGTGGTCTCATATCAATCGGTTCATGATCTCAATCAAAAACAATCATTCATATTTGAATTGTGCAAAAAAAATACTTTTGTCGATTACAATTGACTAGTCTCGGTACCGAACTTTTACATCATTCAAAAGAATTTATTGATCACTATGTTGTTGCTTCTAGTAGACGTTATCATTCAAATAATTTTAAATTTCATCGTGAAGAGGTTGGAGTCAAGCTAGTCCTCTGAAATTCATTCTTGATCTAAACTGTAATAAGAATATCAAAAATTATTCTATGTTGTGATTAGTGAGCTTGTCAATTATTCCTTGTGTTTCCTCCTAATGATCCAGGAGTTCTCATTGCTCTGCACGATTTCAAATCAAAATGACTGTATATCTTTTATTATTGTATAATAAACAATCTAAGTGTAAAGTAACGATGATAACTAGTTAACTCTTTAATAATTTCAAATAAATTGGGCACTGGATAGAATGTTAATAATAAATATATTTTCATTATATCCCAATAAGTAGGAGATCGTATTTCTGACATTTCGTGATTTAGTGTAAGCCACTTCTTCACAGAATAAGTAATCAAATCAAAATCAATCCAAATTTAAGTAGTACATCGTTAAAATAGCACAATGGTTCCGTCGTACTGTTTCAAGTTGGATTAATTTTAATTTGGTCATTTATTCTCTGAAGAAGTGGCCTACATTGAGTCACGAAACGTCAGAAAATTTAATTTTCCTGCTCATTGGGATATTACAAATATATTATTTTTACTTCTAACAATCTACCCAATGCTCAATATATTCGAAATGATCCAGTCAGACTTTGATAATGATACCTATCAATCTATATATCTGTCTTCGCTCAACATACCTAACGAATATAATGCCTAAAAGATGGTGAACATCATAGACTTGATAATATTTTGTCGTCTCTTGGAATAGTTCAGTTTCATAGTTTGTGTCATTGACTAACTTCAATTGGGTATTTAAATCAATTAGTCCCTTTAATAAATTTCGATAATGTAATAATATGAAGAAGATTACCAGAACTATGCGATTTATTGATGCAATACATTTCAAACAATTTGATCAAGTACACAAATGAAAGGTAAAAGGAAACCAGGTTAATAGGAAAAATAGTATGATAAATAATGTGAAACAATCGGACCATTGTACTATTGTACCGTTGTACTATTTAAACCTGGGTTTATTTTGGTTTGGTTATTTATTCTCTGAAGTGGCTTATACTAAGTCACGGAACGTCAGGAAATCTAATTTTTCTACTCATTAGGATATTAAAAATACACTATTTATTTACTGAATAATATAGTTTATCTAATTCTACATTTTACCGAACAGTTATCTTTGCTTCCACAGGGTCCATATATCATGACTGTTAACAGTTTGTAAGTGAAAACACAAGGATTTCAAATGTTTTTTCCCACTTCTCAAAATTTATCACATTGATAAAATAAGTCACTTAAAAACATTGTTTCCATTTGTCTCCCCCATAATATTGTTGTGTTCACTTATCGCTTGACGTACATGTAAACAACTAATTAGCTACTTACAATTGTAGAAACAAAAAAAAATGTTTATGTCGTATAAAAGATCCAGCGACAAGATAACTCCTTACTCATTCCTAAATAAATGATAATCTTATAGTAATTAAGTATACTTTCAACTGTCAATTTGATATTCATTTTATTTCTTTTACAAATCACTTCAAGATATAGTAAACGTGTAATACCCCCTTTTAAAATACTTAAAACGAATCAACTTGTATACTTAATTAAAATGACAACAACAACAAAAAGTACAAAACTTATTTCATATATAAGTTATAAAAAACATTTTCATTTCGAATTCTCAACTATAGACAATGATATCATCATCATCATCATCATCATCATCATCATTATCATCATCATCATCATCATCATCGTTATCATTATCAGAATATGACTTTCTTCACTCATCAAAATGAATTATATTTGTGTATCTATAAAAAGAATTCATTTATGAATTCGATTAAATTTTCTTTATTTTATACCTTAAAAATTATATTTTACGTAAATTAGTACGTCATCTACTGAATTTCACAACAACAACCACAACAACAAAAACAAAAAGAACACTCAATTCCATCATTTTTTTCTTCATGTTGTAAATCATTTCTTTTATTGTAACTAATCAAATATCATTTAAGTTCTAGTTCTATACATACAACATATGGATAAAATAATGAAATTGTAAAAAAGAAACAATATTTCATAGGTTACTTCATTTGATAATCATTTTTTTATTTTGTCATTAAACTAAATATCAACCTTCAAAAATGTGCTCGAAAAATGTTCTAATTATTGATTGTATAATTTGTTTTTTTCTAAGTTAACCAATCAACGACTAGTTTACATTTGATTGGTTAGTATGGATAATATTGGTAACTTTTTCAATGATCCTTTCATATTTATTATTTCTAGTTACTTACTGTTTGTATAATTTTATTGAGATTAAGTTGAACAATTTCAATTGGATTTATACTACAAATTATTAATGCAATTCATACTTCTTTCATGTTATATTACGTAATTGGATAAATTAACTATCGTGTTTCTTTTCTCTTTTAAGTAAATAAGTAAGTATATGATTATTTGACTAGATATATTCTTACTTACTTATTAACAAGAATAATATTTCATATGTACATACAGGGTGAGACTATAATTGATGCATGACCTTTGGGAGATGTTAAAGCGACTTTGAGAGTGTCCATTTAATAACTAGAACCAAATGAAGGTTATAAACTTATGTGAGGAATTAGAATTATGATTTACAATTGATGGTTAAAGTTAGGAATTCGTTTTCAACACAAACTGACATCAGCTATAATGCCAAAACTTTATTTAGCCAAATGGATGAGTGAAGTTTGCACCGAAATCCAAGACCTGTTATCTTATACCTGATTGGTTCGTTCATAAATGATTAGTCTTGCCACATACCGATATATTTACTACATTTCTACTAGGTTGAAAAAGAATTTCAGTTCTTGATAAGTTCTTATTTCACTTAGTTATTAGAATTATGACTACATTTTAATCAAAATGTTTCGAAAATTTTTTGTCTTCGGCAAACAAACTTATATATTACAACAAATAATATCTGTAATTTAAATCTTCATACATAATGCCCAGTCAAATAGTTTTTAATTAAGAATACAACAAAAAGTCTCTATCTCTGTAGCATCCATTCCCTATAAATATTCAGTGTTGTTTACAATGTTATCGGATAAGTGACAAATGACATATGAGTTTTTTATCAACCTGATAGTGAAGTGACTCGTTTACATATTTTCTATGTTGAGGCTTAAATTTTACTAAATTATTATCACTACACATTTTTCATCTTATATTCCCATTAATATTGAATAATTTATAGAAGATACTAAACATGATGCATGTGGTATGTGTTTTTTGAATGTCTTCTTTCTCAAAATGTAATCAAGATTCTCCTATTATGATAATAATAATAATAACAATAATAATAATGATTATTACTATTATTATTATAGTGGGTAGGTGTTTTGTCATATGCGAAAAACATTTGTCATATTGAAAATGAACTATAGAGGAAAAAAGCGCTTCCCAATTGTTTCTCTTCTCCTGTATAAGTATATATACATACATATATTCACATATATTTACTATGGTTTGATTTACACTTATTTTGTTAATATCCAGGGTTATTATTAGACTATTCTATCTGAACTTGTTTAAGATGTAGAATCAATTACTTTGAAATTTGAGAACTTAAACGACTAAGCTAAATCATTTTATCAATTCTGGAATTGATCTTAAATCAAAACCTGGTGAATATTCCCCATTTAAAACTTAATTCTAATTTTTCTAGTCATAGTGTACTGTATGATGTACTACCTGTATAACACCTTGAAAAAAAGATCAATATCAATAACAATGTAGGTGTGAAATTTGAAAAAACATGACCTTGTAACGTGATATTATGATTTTATTATCAATTACTTAAGTTGAAGTATATTTTGTGTGCACTACACTTGTATGTTATTATTTTGTAAAGTTTAAGCAATTGGAACCATAATTTCTAACTGAAATTAAGAACTATTACTCATTTAATTGATTAAATAATAATTTATAACTCTTAGCTTATAGTTTAGTGGATAGTATTCGACTATTAACAAGGTTGAGTTTGATGCTAAAGCTTAACAACTGATGGTTGAGTTCTTAAATTCGATTATTAATTTAGTGATAATTCATTAGATTTCCTGATCAGGTTACTATGAGGTGAAAATATGCATCGTTTATTTTTTGTAAGGTCATCATCGCATAGATAAACAACAAAGAGAATAAAATGTTGCTAGATTTACACCACAAGTTTAAACTATTAATATTTATCATTCATTTCTATTAGCAACTGATATCAAATATTGTATCAGTGGAGTGAACTAATGACAACTTAATACTTTGTAAGCCATTCCATCCGAGTTATACAGAATAATACAATATATTTACATGGTCTTCCTAGCCTTTGGATTAATAGTTTGGGTCATAAGTGAGAATTTCGTGTAAACTGTTCGAATATCTGACATTGAAATATAATCAAAATTCTCTTGAACTAGAATATAGACACATTCCCATCTTAATACAGTTATATTATAGATAAGCAATTTTGAGTTTTTTATAGCACATGGATTAACCATCACTCAACTCGTTGGAAACGGGATTCATTTGAAGAAAATTATGACAAAATTAGAAAATTCGTTTCGTTTCGTTTTTTGCTCATTTTAGATATTCAGAATTGAGCTGTTTGAAAGAATTACTTCATTTGTTCTGTATTAATGAATAAAATTTGTAATCTATGTAATCAGATAGTAGATTTATTCATACAACTAATTCATGAAATTGTAATAATAATACTCTTAAACTAAATAGAATATACTTAAATTATTGATGGAATCATCATTGTCATGTGCTTCTTTTATGATGCACATAATGTAATCTACCTTTTATTTACTAGTTTCACTTACAGTTTCTCAGCTGATTGGGTTGTAGCTTTATATATATATGTATTCCAGAGTAATATATCATGAATTGTTAAGGTTGGTGTTTTATAGTTAACCAAAGCATTAAAATATAATCGTCTTATCTAATAATAATAATAATAATAATAATAATAATAATAATAATAATAATACGGTTAATAAAGTCATATTAAATATAGATATATCCATATATTTCACTGGTTTACTTGTTCAAACAGGTTATTGAAGTAATAAACACTTCATAATGTGATCTTTAAAAATGAAGTTAATTTTATGCTAGAAATATGTATTCAAATAACTTCTTGTGTTTAACTAAAAGAGAAGGGATAAAACCATTGGTATTTTTGAAATTTTCCAAGGCCATTTTACTAAGAATATTCAAATTGTTCATTATCTAATTGATTTCACTATCAAACAATATTATGTAGAACTTTTGATTGGTACACTGACAAACAAACATTGAACTATTGAAGAATATCGAATTATCAGAAGAAATTCAGAAGGAAGTTGTTTGAATAATCTAGATATTTATATTGATAAGAGTGTGTACAAAGTATATGTAATTAAATATAAAATATGATAAATGAAGACACGAAAAACGGAGCATAACCACAAAATAACAGTTATCATCATACCTAAAAGTCTATACGGAGAGTAGGAATTAACCAAAGAATTTTAAATCTGTCACAGATATCAGATGATCACTAAAGCAGTACAAAATAGTCGATCGATGTGATAAAATTTTAGGGAATTCAATGACATAAGTTAACAACACCAAGGTGTAAATAGAGGAACAAGAAAAATCAACTAAAATCCCCCTACAAAAAAATAACCTTTAATTCAAAGATTTTAGGCAAGTTGGTAATTCAAATTAGTTTGTTTTGTAGTTTAATCAGATTAACTGTCTTGGTTTCACCGTACTTACCAATGACTCAAGATTTTGTCTATAAATTTTAGGGTACCATTTTTTGAAATATATATATATATATAATGATATTTAACACGTGTCCTAGCAACGATGGTCAGCCTAGTGAGCTGCATTTGCAAAAGATTGATCTTAGTTGATGCAACTTCGGAAACTTGAAATTACTGGACAAACTTTTTGTCCTTGTATGTGACTCGTCAGTAGTTCATATTCACGACCTCCCAGGGATTGAACTCAGGATAAGTAACCACATCATTTTCTTACTAATGATTAACTTTGAGAGGTCATTACCAGAACTCTATTGAGATATCTAAGAATGACAGAGTAAGAAAGTTGTCACCAATGAGATTGGTGAAATTTATTGAAGTTGGAATTGTTCCCTAAGACATCACTTCAGTGGTTCTAACGGTTAAGCGTTCACCATCAGATCAAAAGGTTCTGAGTTCAACCCTTGGCTGAGTTGTGAGTACTCTCTGCTGAGAAGTCCAAATGAAAACATTCTGTAACTAATTCTGGATACAAAACAATTCAAGCAAACTATTCAGCCTCCATATGTCAATAAAGAGAACATTTTATTTATAAGATTCTGTTTACTGAGTATCAAATTCACTTCACTTTTTTACAAAAACTCGGCCTACTTTGATTTCCATCTCAATACACCATTATTACTCATTGAATCTAAAAGCGATCAACCTGTAATACTACTGAGCACCAACAAGCCTGAAACCCATTTTTCTGAGGGCTTCTTATCGGCTTTATAAATGACCAGTACCGTACAATTTTGACCCTAACACAGACCAAATCCAGGACCTTTGGGTAACTAAGTTCTCATCCAGTGATCTAGTGCTCTTTGATCTCCCTTCTGATCTCACTGAATCATGAATCTTTAAAGTCATGATTTACTTATATCAAAATCATATTATTAGTTTAACAATGATATTCTATTTGAAAACAAAGTACTTCAATGTAGGTCATGATTGATTTTTTTTTATCAAAGAGAAAAATAACACAAAACTAATCATTATAATAAACAACCTACCATTAAACACTATGGTCACTGCATTAATTAAACACAGTATACTTTTCTTAAATAAAAACAACCTTAATTTTGAATAACACTAAAGCTGGTTTTATTGTTACCAGTAAAAATAACTTCTGCTTATCATTCAAAATTGCGCAAACACACCTACACATGGTATGTTTAAGAATTCTTTCAAGTTTATTGATCTAAATACAAATGCATATCTTCTTTAATAAATTAAACAATGCATGATGAATCACTAGTTGGTATGAAACATCCTTGTTAGCATTATAATTGTCAAGCTTATTGTAGTAAACTGTTTATCGATTTTTATTTAACCCACTGGTTTTTATGAATAATGATTAAAATGATGACAACGTTGAATAATGATACAGTATGAAAAATTAAAAGCTGCCTCCTAAGATCAATAGTTACTATAAGTATTATCATCCTTGTTAGTAGATCAACATCAAAACAGAATATAAGTGATTAGTGACTTCTAGACCACTGAGCCTGCATCCAATGATCATAATGTATATATTCAGGTGTCTAACTTCGAGTGTTAGGCGATTACCCACATTAAAGTTAGACATTAATATCGTTAGATGCCAGCCT